TATCTATCTATCTATCTATCTATCTATCTATCTATCTATCTATCTATCTATCTATCTATCTATCTATCTATCTATCTATCTATCTATCTATCGCTTACTCTTCCACTAGTTTCTGGTGCCATTTGACGAAGACGGAGGTGCCAGCAGTGAATGCTCTCTCTTTGTAATGTGTTTGTGTATCTTTGGCCGGCTGTTTTTTTTTTTCCTCGGGGGATGGCCGTGGCGTCTGTGCGGTGACGCTGCCGCCCCCTAGCGGCGAAGCGGAAGACTGCACCGTTTCCTCTGATGACAACGTTGACCTGCGGCTGACCCCACTAAAATCGGACAAAAAACAGCCCAATAAAATGCTGTCCGTTAAATATATTTTGTGAAGTATATTTATTTTTTAAAAGAGAAACGCTTTTATTTTGTGCCTCGATAGTGGATCTGTAGAGAGTTTTGAGGCCCGCAGACGGTGAGTAAACCAGGTGTCTGTCACATGCCCGACTTTAACAGCAGCTTTAATTAGCAAGCCGGGAGAGCGTGGTTAAAACAAGCCAGATATGCTGGAAGGTGATGTTAGAACAGACGTTTAGCGGTCTGTAACATGTTAACTAAGCTAGTACAACCCCTTTCTCTGTCTGTTTGGAGTTCACTGCTAGCTAGTCCTCTGATATTAACCAACGCGCGGGCTTTGAGCTGGCCCCACATGACTCGAGTTTAAATGTGCTCAAAGACTATTTATTGCTGCAAGAAATATTTAAGATTGCCCATTAATCCACACTATACATAATAATAAACTATAAAGCTGCTGATAAAGGAGAAAGAAAGCTCGACCTCAAAAATCTCTGTTTTAATGTGCAAAAATTTCAAACTCAAAAAGTGTGTTTTTGTCCACAATATCGAAGCATTTATTGTGCTAATGTCCAGGTGAGCAGGGATAATTGCCTCACACTCCACACACATGTCACCTTCCGTTTCCACTCCTCTCTGCTCCCCTTCTGAAGTGGATGGAGAAATGTGGTGCTACCAAAAACCAGGGTTTGATACCCTCCTCCTCACTGAGCTGCAGCGACAACAACAGTGCAGCCAGTTCTGTGACACTCTGCTTAAGGCAGAAGGTATGAGACACACATACACAAAAAACCCAAAACAAAATTTTGCATGTGTTAGTTTTGCTTTTAAAGTTTTTGTTTTTGTCATTTCTCCCCGTCTTGCAGGGGTGTCTATACCCGCACACAGCTGTATTCTGTCAGCTATCAGCCCCCACATCTCCTCCGCTCTGTCCTCCACACCGACTCCCGCTGCGGGGCAGAGTCGCCTCTTGGAGTTTCGGGCTCTGGGTGCCTGCACCTTGCTCCACTTGGTCAGGCTTCTATACTCTGGAGAGATGGCTGGGGAGGGTGAGAGGGAGAAGCAACAGGCTATTTCTGCTGCGGCCAACCTGGGCATCCACGGGCTGGTGGAGGTGACGAAAAAGGAGTGTAAAAGCAGGGATGGGGTCGGGCAGTGCGCCGAGATAGGAGTGCAGACGGAGCCTCTGATGTTTGAGAGTGAGGAGAGACCGGGCAGGTGGAGGAGAGAGGTGAGGGATGGGAGCATTTTTCTGTGGAAAGAGATGATGTCAAATGGCGGGAAGGATGTGTGCACTCAAACAGACGAGCTGCAGATAAACACAGCTCCACCTGCTCACCCAGCAGTATCGTTTGAGACCATCGATATGAGTGCTCTCCAGAGTATACAGCACTCAGACCCCCTACTTGTTCCCCCTCAGATTTGCCCTGTGTCTGTCCTCTACCCTCCAAATGAACTAACACCTCAGATATCCTCTGCTCCCTTAGGTTCTATACCTGAAGCTGAAAGCACACCGGTTGCTGTTGTGACCCAGCCGTACACATCTGTCCCCCCATCCCTCCCTCATTTTACGAGCCAGACAACCATCTGTAATGCCGACCCCCAGAGCGGATGGGCTGACCAAGATGTCACAGTGGCGGAAGAATGGGAGGAAGAGCAGTTTCAACAGTTTCAAGGCAACATCCCAGGATTCATCAGCTACTTTCTGAACCCTGACAATGAGGAGGAGCCCCGCGGGGGGAGAGCAGGCCGCAGGCGAAGGTCCGGGGTTGGAGGTGCCAGGAGGGGCGAGGAGAAGCGTGGGAGACCACGAGCAGGAGGGAGAGGGCGTGGTCGGGGAGGATTAACTCAAATGGTGCAGGAGGTGGGGGTGAGCAGGTTGCAGAAGTTGTTCTTGCTCAGGTGGGGCATGAGGACGCCCAGGACGGGTCAGGGAGGCGGAGCTGCTGGGAGGAAGCTGTGCCTGCAGACCAGAGAGGTTGTGAAAAAGGGTGCACGCTGTGAGAGGAGAAGAGGGCGGGGCATAGCGTGGGCATTAAGCCAAGTTGGAGATGTGCTGCGGTCTGGTGAGGTCGGAGGAAGCACCACTCAGCGTGGAAGGAAAAATACGGGGCAACAGTTTGAACAGGTAAGCGAATGAGTGTCCCATTTGTGGCATCTATAAAGTGTCAAAAGCTGTAATTAAATATTAAATGAAAATAGGGTCTGGGAGCTCAAAACTAAACCTTTGAGGGCTTTTACACCCAAAAATGAGGATTCAGATTTAAAACAGGATGTTACATTTGTTGCTTCTTTCAAACATCGACTTGTCCTTGTTTGCAGGGCAGTCTTCCTGTGCGCAGGCCACGAAGATCCAGAGCCAAAACAGCAACATCGGCTTCCTTTTTTCCCACACCTATGCAGTTTACCAATGCACATACTCTACCTACCTCCAGCCACTCCTTCCAGGCTTCTCAATCTCCCCACCTGCCATCACCTGCAGCCTCCTCTCCACCATCCTGTCTTCCTGTCCCAGCCCCACCACCTCACGAGGAGCAGCCTGAGCAGATCGATCGTCTTCTGGAGGAAGTGATGATGGGACTCGATATTTTACCAAACAACAAAGGCAGCGCTTCACGTGCTCAGCATCCCCTTCCAGCAGGTAGCAACACTGGCGCCTCTGCCTCTTCTGAAATCACCTCATCCCAAAACAAACCGCAGAGCCTTTCTTCTGAGCTCCATGAATCCACTGAGGTTGCAGCTGTTGCAGGAGCAGCTGGTCGCTCCAGTTCTACAAATGGTGTGGTGCCAGTTCTAGAGCAGCCGTGCGAGGGAGAGCTGGGTGACATGCTGGACCACTTCCTGCAGTCGTTTGAGCAGCATGTTGGAAGCTGTCGTGCAAGAGAGGAGATGGAGACGAGTGGTGTGAGCTCCAC